AGGCCAGCGTCAAATATCAGGCCCCTATAAATATCTTAAAATATACATTTTGTTTGATGGTTAGAGGCGAATTGAAAAGTAAGCAATAATTCTAAAGACTCAATTATAATAATAATAAATTACTATTTTTGTTAAATAAAAATATTTAAAGTTTCAAATAATAATCTAAAATTTTCACACATTTACATTGAATTTACTTTTCTAGAATTTTTGCTAGAAACTCGATAATTATGTTATTACAATCAATCTATTTCAGAACCCTTTTTTTTTTAATTTTTTATTTTCTCCAATAGATATCATGGTCAATCCATTCAACATTTCTTATGTGATTATTGACCCAAGATAAAATTTTGTCAACTTCAACTTTCAGATGTTCCTCTCGACAAACGAAATTGTAATTGGTATTATTCAAGAACATATTTTTTAAGCAATCCATACATATGATATGGAAAACAAACCTTCCACCATTTTTACATAATCTAACACTCAATCTCCTTTTTATTGTAGCAAACAGTTTCTCACAATATGTTGTTCAGAAATAACTCTGCCCAACATAGTGAGGAGAGAGGAAAAATTTTCTTTGTGGGAACTTGAATTGCCATGAAGAAAAGTGCTACAAATTTGTTCTCAATGCATGTTAGACAATCAAATAAGAATTAAATACTACAAAATAAAGAGTGAACCAACCTATCGATTACATTTTGTTTAAAGATTAGCATGTTTACTGATTGGATAGCTGAATTGGCTTGGTTGATTGCATATGGACTATATTTTGTTTGTCAATTTTTCGGAAGTATATATTCGATTGAAATTTTAAATTGTTGACCATTTTCTTTTCTCAGTTCAATGCTTCAGTCGAGTTTTAAAACATTGAACTGTCAAAGACTTTAAACATAAGTTAGAGAATTTGCAAAAGATTGAATTTAGAATGAGGGATTGAGGATCACCAAACAATAAACAGGCAGAGAAAATTAAATAAAAGCTAAAAGGTCACTTTTCGAACGGCTAAGAGATTTTAGAAAGAGATTGAAAAAAAGAGAGAAAACGAAGAGTGAGACTGAAAAAGAGAACTAAAAAAAAAATCTCATGTTTGTGTGTTCTGAAGTAGATAGGTCAAATAATTTTTAATTGCTAAAATTGAAAATGAATTTCCTCCATCTCTGAATATTATAAGAGTGATATATAGGCCCTATCATCCTCCATGTGACCATTTGGATATTATTTGTTTAAAATATACTTATTTACTAGATAATCACATGATATTTATTTTTTATTTGCAACCTCAAGTTTACGAGATTACTCATTCAAACTTTTATTATGAACATAGTTTTTAGAATTGATAATAATGACATTATCATGTCTTGATTAATGCCATTGAATTTATATCCCAAAATCATTAATGATATTAACATGTTTGTCAGGGGTGGACCCAGACAGTTCGAATTATGGGGTCAAAAATGAATTTTTTTTTTCGAACAACGTATTATAAACAAAAAGGAGAAATCGATGGTTTGCTATTCGTGTTTGGTGTTTCCACTATGGGAAGAAATTGGTGGATTATATTATATATCTATGGACTAACTAATGGATATAGACCATGTGATATGGATATAGATTTAGGATTTGGGTTTTTTGGGCATTGGGCTATGAAATTAATTGGATTGGTCACTTGGCTGTTGGGAGAGGCAGGAGAGAAAAAAAAATTATGTTTCCAGCAGGAGAGGGGAAAAAAATCCAAAAAACTGTGATGTCATTTGACTCCACATGATCCCATGTGGGTCCGCCCCTGATGTTTGTCGGGTTACATTTTGTTGCCTATAATCAATGATTAAATACCTCCAGTTATTTGCTATATTATTAATCACGAGAACAATATTTTAGTGTTTGAGTGAAAATGCATGCAGCAATATTTGTACTCTTATCAACATTTTATCATATGATATCCCCGTTATAATCGCCTTATGGCTAGACGCCATATGTTTTCCATCTAAAGAATTTTGACAAGTGCAGTATATATATAATTGCTCCACCATTGCCTACTAAAATGGACATTAAAAAAATTCTGAGCATACATGTTAGATTTAAATCTTGAAGGATTATAATGAGATAGTTGTCTCAGCATTAGAAGAAAAATTAAGCAGATGGTAAAAATAAACGAAATACATCATCGTTATGTTATCTAGATTCATGAATGACATGATTATGTGCATTACAAGTTTGCAAGATAGTGCATTTCGATTCATTCACCGTTACCAAATCTCGTATACCAGCTACTCCAGCTTAGAGTAATGTCCCATAAGAACAATTCTTTAGCATCGTATTTTGTAAATTTATGGAATGCTTGAAGCGTGATTGTCAACGATTTCAAAGATAAATATCCCTCAAAGAAAAGAGGAGCATATTAATTTTGATGGTCCTGTTCAGCTAGTAGTCTTGGAGAGTACACAATCATAACTAACTAGAAACTCCACTAGAGTATCCTGGACTTGAAAATTGTGAAATAAAGAGAACTTGATATGTTATGTCTATGGGGATGACATGGAACAAAAAAGAAATAGTTGTCAACAACATATGTTCAATACATTTATAGAGCTCTATTACGAGCAAAAGTGGCAACGTTGAACCAAAATTCGTAGAAGACGCAAACTTATTTGGCCAAAGTAGAAAGAGCAATATCGGGAGATTGTTATGTGTTAGGACCTGTAGTCCAAACCCTTAACGAGTGTAATTCTAGTAGAATAAAAATAGGTAATTGTGCAAAAAGGAAATAGAATAAAATAGTCGTAAAGCACAACTTGTTATGATTTTTTTTCAAAGAATTGTATTTGAAAATGAAAAGATATTATCTAATGTGGCGAATACAATTATACTAGCTTGACAATGCATGAAAAGTATATCATAAAAGTCAATTAATATGATTATAACCAACTTATATAATTTAGTTCTCATTTAAATCTCTTAAGGATTTAAGATGCTTGATGCATACAATTTTAATATAATCTATAAAAGATTTAATATGCCCAAGCATATAATCAAAGTTGCCGAGAACTTATATAATTAAAGTGCTGAGATAGTTTGAAATCTGGACGTATGCATTAGAATTGCCTCATTGAATAACTGTTGGAAAATGGGTGCATTAATAATGACCTTATATAGGTCGTGCCTTTTTCTAAAGAAATCAATATTCAGATTTGCCATTATTGATTTATAAGTTGATGATTTAAATATTACTCGAACTGTAGAAGAGCTTTCAAGGACAGTTTATTACTTAAATTGGATGGCCAGATCGAACAGTCAACGAATTATATTCTTGTTCATCGTGCAACTTGCATAGAAAAAGATCTAAAAGATTTCATTTGCAAAATGATCTGTCCATTTGATCGATGGTATATTGCCACTCGAAGTGAAAAGATGACCATTTTCATCATCGATGTGATAATGAATACTTATTGATCATCAAGTACCATATCTATGCAGTAGATATACATTGTCATGTCTCGCCAATAATTCATAATTTGAGACTAATTTGTTATGATGATATCGGGAATCATTTGATCTACAATAATTCATCTAACAATTTAAGTTATCACATGTGTCGATTATGATTATACACGTGACAAATATGTTCAAAGGCATTAGCTAATATAACACTTGGCAAGTTGGTAAACACAATATATCTTAAAGTGATATAATCATAAGTACGAGTAAACATATGTTATACTTTTTTCTTTGACCGAGGGTTTATCCATTAGATTTTTTGACATAGCAACTTACAAAAATGCCCCTATAATTATGAGAGTTTGAAAAATCATTTGAAAAGTATTTCAAACATAAAATAATACATGAGTAAATTTAACCAATAATCACTGAACTTTACACTTGATTACTACTTGCTCACTCATCTTTCACATATTACTGAATACTCACTCATCTTTTTATATAATTACTCATTCACCACTCGCCTCTTCAAATAATTGGGCTACTTTTATGGCAAATTTTCGACAACTTCCAACCACAAAGAATGTCGAATTTTGATACCGTTGGAAAGCCCACGATGTCCTCTTCAATTACCATCCAAAATCTCATTATAACTCCAAGGGATTCGATTGAAAAATTGCCTTAAAAGTCGCCCAAAAATTCTGAAAATCTGCCCAGATTTTCAGATTTTTTGGGCGACTTTTAAGGCAATTTTTCGACAATTTTTGACCATCAAAATTATCTAATTTTGATACCATTGGAAAGCCCACAATGTCCTCTTCAATTACCACCCAAAATTTTTCCATAACTCCAAAGAATTCGATCGGAATAAACCCACAAAGTTCGGGCGAAAATCTGGACAAAGTTCGAGAAAAGTACCATATAAAATTAAGTGTCAATTTATCAAAAATTGATATTTGTCACTCAAAAGAATGACAGAAATATAAAAAAAAAGTGATAAACAATGATGTAAATTAAAAAATTGAAAAAAATTCTAAAAATTGAAAACACTTAAAAGAAAAAAAAAAGTCACTTAAATTAAAAAAAGTGACAAAACATTCATCAAAACCTTAAAATATATTATTTTATGCAAATTCAACCACACCACATCACACCACACCACACCACACCACTCCATCTCAAAAAAGGTTAAACCCTAACCTTAAGGGTCCCCCACCACCTCTGTCCTGGAGTATCGTGAGGGAGGTAAATCGCAGGTTATGCCTCTAAGGGTACAGGGTGGAAGACTACTTGTACACTTGCACTTACCCAAAAGTCAAATCCATATTTCAGGATTCGAACCCTTGACGCAGCAGCCTTAAACAAAGCTGGATTTCTCCACCCTCCACTTTTACCATTTGGAGATGTGTCCTGGGGGCCACACCACTCCATCTTCACCAAGGCCAACCTTGCAGGTAAAATGTCATTCAAAACATTACATCAGACACCAACCTTTTGTTTCAACTAAGATTTCATAAAAGGATATACAAGCACCAAAACATGACATTTGCATTCAGCGACAATTCTATTCTACCAAAAAAATCATTTTTTATGGAAATAAACTCATACTGACAATGAATGATCTGGATTTGAACCAGAGGCCTCACTGGACCTATTGTCCAACCAAAACCAAAATGATAACCTTTTCATTTCTTTTCTCACTATTTGTTCTACATAATAGTTATTACATTTTCTAAAAGTTTCATATTTGAGCTAAAAAGGGACAGTTAGAATATGAACAAAGCTATATACAAGAGAGTTACAACCTTATTCTATACATAGAGTTACAAGAAGCAGGAACTGCTTTGCTGCAATCTAATAACCAATAATTGAATGCTGCTGCTGGATAAAATGGGGGTTGCATTTTGGGCTAACATACTTAGTTGGCTTCTCCCAGTACTTTGCAGCTAGCCCTCTCGGAGACCTGAGGGACCTTTATCTTTCGATGTGCTCAATTTCTTGATTAATGCCTCAGCATCCTTTCCTAAACTTGACATCCATACCAAAATTATAGCAAACAAGTACAAAAATATCACTTAGGCATAAAAACTACGATAAAATGAAGATAAAATGGAGCACAAGAATTTTGTAATACCATTTCTGTTGTCGGATATGTGAACAAGATCAGTATTTAGCAGGTAATATTTAGTATTAATCGTATTGCAGTAGCACTGGCTAAGTAAGAATCGATTAGTATTCCTCATCACCAACTGCAGTAAGCGAAGGCACAATACCAAGAAAAAAAATAAAGATCACCTAAGAGAATCGTCATAGCATTTCATAAACAAAATTCGCATAGCATTTTACACAAAACAAAACTTCTGTCAAACCTCGCAAAGTATTTATAATTGTGTTGAAAAAGTTTTAAATTCCAATCTCAAACCACCATATAAATGGTCAATGGAAAAAATATATCAAAAAATTTCGACTGATATCATATTGATTGAAAAATAACAAAATTCACAAAGGAAAAGAATCTCATTGTATCCCAAAACCGTTGCCACAAGCAGAATTGCATCTTTAAAATCCTCAGTTATATCTCTAACTTTTGCCATTCCTTCTCAATTTATACTAGCTGAAACTATTAGAGCTTTACAATCATTTGAAACCTTCGAAAAGTCAAAACAAAAATGGAGAAATGTATCAAAATTCGAATTGAATAAATATTTCAAGAGAAAAAAGAACAGGAAGGACTAGATCAATAGCTCTTACCGTTAATGGTGCAATGTAAAGCGAAAATTTCAAGAAAGAGTCCACAGAGGGAGAAATAGTTATCAATTGGAAACCCCAAAGCAGCCATCGAAAGATTCACTGGTTGGAGATGGTTTTTTCGCCCTATCTTTTTCATACGAAGAAAATTGAGTCGTGGATTTTGTAGCGATTTGGGATTTTTGTCTGTAACCAGTAGGGCATTGTGTTGTTTTGGGGTGTATTAGTTATGAGGATAAAATTTTAATTAGTTTTAATAATATTATTCTAATTTTTTTTAGGGGTAATGGGTCTAATTTTTCTCATTTTAATGATGCAACTTTCATAGCATATTAAAAAAATATAATGTACTCGTTTCATTCATTAGGATTTTTTTCATGTGATTTTTCCTAGTAAAGTGTTAAACAAAGCATATACTTTGTGTAACGACAAGACATCTACTCTCAACATAAAATTCTTGTACATTAAAAATTGTATATGAAACTTTTGAAAAGAGCAAGAACAAGATCTATTTTTCACAAAATCATTACAGCGACTACAATCTCTAATGATCGATAAATATCTTGTATGAAGATAGTTTTGGTTGACCACTATAACAAAATAATATGGAACATATTTCGACAAAATTGTATCATTTAAGACATTGTGCATGAGTTATGGATGTCCTAATGCATATATTTTCATTAACTGAAATCAAGCGAAGCAGTTGCACTCTTCTTCATTTGCTTAAGTTTTGTTTCATTGAATTTTCTTGAAAATATTTTTACAAAGCATCATTTTATTACTCCAAAATTTTTATACTCTTATTTTTCCTCTATTTTGTACTTTTGTCTAATCGAGTTTTCGCCAAACAAGGTTTAACAAAACATATATTGTGTAATCCGTTATCCAAGGAAGTGTTGTGAATTAAATACTTCTGTGAATGACTATTTTATCCACGCAACCAAAACTACACCTATAAATATGGAACTTTAGTTGTCAATAAAATACACGAGAATTTTTTTTCTTTCTCTATTCTCTAGTGTTGTTTTCTATATTCTCTTGGTTTTCTGATAGTATCATATGATAAGACTATGTCCCATATGGTTAAGGTTTGACTATAGTATTTACAATTTATAATTCAATTTATGGGTAAGTTTGGAAGAGATCTTGGCTGATTTGCCACACATGAAATTTAGCACCAAAAAAAAAAAAAACAAAAAACTGGCTTCTTTTTTCTCCAAAAGAGATGTGTTCAATATGATTTAATTGGATAGTTGATCCACCCTTCATTGTTTGGAAAAGACCCTTCTATCCAATTGGTATTTTTTCATACAAGAACACAAAATATAAGAAATCAAGTGTTTCATTAAGAATGCATTTGATTGGCTTTATTTTCCATAGAAAAAATCACTTTTCCACCCAAATTCCTAATTTTATGGTGTTTGATTGACAATTTCTTTCATGAAAAATATTTTTCAATTTTTGGTCACGTGGCCATATTTTCTTCAAAAACAAGGAAAATATTTTCTTTAGGGAGCAATGGTTTTTATTTTCCAGGTAATTTACTTTTTTTCTTTCTTTCATCTGCTCTCCAATAAAAAATGGAGAAGTATAATATTTTCTAAATTGAAAACTAAAATCAAATACATTTAATTATTAATTTTCATACACATAAGTTCTAAGCAATTGAATTGTCTAGAATTTATTTTCTTCTATACAAATTTCATGCTTGCAAACAAATGTGTATAAAATTTCGAATACTGATCTCAAGCTCACGTGGATTCTATAGAAAAATGATAAAATAATTCTCAATCATTATTGTCCTTGAGGATCGGATAGTCCATATAATATACAAAAAGAAACTCAAAAATTTCGACATATTTCTCTTTGAATAAAATCTCAATTCCGACTCAGATATGTTTTTTTCTTGTTGGTAGTAACTTATATGAGAGTTGGCATCCTTGTAGAAATAATCTTCATTAGAGATCTATAGGTATAGGGATCCAATTCAAATATAAGACTGATTCCATAGTCGTTGACTTTAAAAGGAGAATTAACCTAACGACGTCAATCGTATCTCATCAAGAATTCAAGTTAGACTTGTGAACTAATATCCAAATAATCTTTTTGAATTTTGTCTCCACATGATTACTAGACAGTCATTATCCATCAACTAGCTCCATAGAAAACAAGTTCTTAAGATGAAGAGTCTATGGTCCTGATTCTTTCCTTACATTCACTTCATTTTTTAGCCAGTTACCAAGTTTTGACCAACTCCAGTCCTGATATGATGCTTATTTTTTCGAAAGGACGATAATTCATCCGAGTAGTATCTTCTCATCTGCCTCTTACTTAATCTTACAGATATTCTTACCCCTCCCAAAGTCCCTGGTAAGTTAAGTGAAATGGATGGATATTTGTCATAGCAGGAAAGACTCATGATATACATTTCTGTATAGTAACTAAGCGTTCATACATTTTGGTAGCGTAAAAAGGTTAAAATGAATGGGAACGGATCATGGTTTTGAGATATTTTTTATCAAACCACCACACAAGTAGCGTATTTATTCATACTGGAAAAAAAAAGGTACAAGCACAGGAGGAGGATATATAACATGACCTCCAATAACTGAAAATTTATTGTAATAAATTTAACCAGACCACGAACTAAAACTAAGTCCATGTTTGATCCCCATTACATAAAAATGAAAATGAGGGGAATAGTGCCCCCCGGGGCACATCCAAGTTAGCAGAACAATCACATTGGGGGGCTCTGGAACCAAGCGTGGGGAGTTCGATTCCTGGTGGGAACCTTTGATCCAATAAAGGAGGAATTATTGGTGGATTAATCACTATGGAGGAAGGCTCCCTTTGGGGAAGGAGTAAAAGTCGTGTGGGAACCTGGAAACCAATAAGGGCACATCCCGTGATTTACCTCCCTGAGCTGCTGAAGGGCCGGAGGTTCAGGGACGAGGATATAGTCTGGCGCAAACTGGAACACCTCGTTAAAAAAAAAAGAGGGGAATAGTATTTTTTAGAAAAATGAGTGGTTGAAAAAAAAGGAAAAATTTTCGATTTACGTGTAATATTATTTTATGAAAGATTGTGTGGTTAAAAATAGGAGAGAGAAGAATGAAATGTAATTTAATTTAATTTAATGGGATCAAACAAAGGCTAAATATCTCATGTAATCACATCATGTCCTTTGTCATCATGCGTCGTTGTGTGTGTAGGCTCGACATCACTTTTAAGTCAATGTCATAATCATGTTCTGAAATTTTTTAATTTACTTGCATGAAGCTATTATTACAAATGATCAAAATTGCATTATTTGTATCGCTCGACATTGTATGTTTTCACAAGGGAGTGCTATTCGTCGCTTACTACGACAGTCATCGTACGTGATATAAATATGTCGGTTGATTATTTAATGCATTAATATAGTAGTATTTTATTGATTAATTCATCAAATAATCATCCACCATGTATATGTTACGTAAGGCGACTGTCGTACTAAACGATTGCGAATAACATTGTTTTTTCACAAGGTGTTGAATGAAAGTTTTGTAAAAATCACAACTATAACTGTAAACAATAAAAGAATCATAACAAAATAATCTCTCTCACGATTTTCCAATGGTTCATCCAAGAATATACAAGGTCATATTATAAAATGTACCAAACAAATAAAAATTAATAATAATCATAACAAGAGTTATTAGAATATTCAACGGCCCTTGAACATGAATTGGGGCCAAGAATGAAAAAATTGTCCAACGATTTGTCTTCATATTTTTCTACTTATTTGACTTTTCTGCTTACATTAAAGAACAGATACTCGTGTCACCTATAAATAATGCAACAAAATCAGACTTCTTGACCCATCTTTAGTATCAGATCCTCTGTGTTACCTTTTGAATTGCTTAATTGTTTGGAAGTCCATAAAGCAACCAGTCAATGGCTGGTGCTGTTCTTCTTGTCTCTTTACTCCTGATTTCTTGTTTAGCAGCAAGTTGCCATGGTGCAACCTTATCTTCTCTTCAGAAAACTCTGATTGTCACAGCGTCGCCAAAAAATGGACAAGGTAAGATTGCCTCGATCCCCCTTCTCCTCAGTCTTTTTCTCTGCCCGTGCACACTTACGTACCATATCCATGCTTACACGTATAGTCTGCGCATGGCGATGTATATATGAATTATCAACCTCATGGAAGTGGCGGGGGCAAATGGGAGATGAGGGATGGCGATAGCTCCTGCAACATTTTTAACTTTTTCCCTCACATTATATTATTTTTATATAGAAAAGCCCTTGTTTGATCCCCTTGTTTTTAAAATATATTTTTCTTTCTCTTTTTTTTAATCACATATTCTTTAATAAAGTAATATTACACATAAACCCACAACATTTTTTTATTTTTTAACCGCACATTCTCAGTCGATCTCCTATTTCAAAGCGCATTCTTCTCTAAAAATGAGGCTCAAACATATACATAATACATATACATCCTCCACCCCAAATAATCCTGGCTCCGTTACTACTTGTGGAAGTCGTAAACACGTCGAGACTATATATTTTGAAGCTGTGAAACACCAGCAAATTTGCTCAGTTTTGTCTGAAAGTCCTCTTTAAATTGAACTTGCAGTTCTGAAAGCTGGGGAAGACAGTATAAATCTGACTTGGTCATTCAACAATTCGTTTTTGGCCAGGACAGATTCAGCCTACAAGACTCTGCAGGTGAAGCTTTGCTATGCACCCATCAGCCAACAGGACAGGGCCTGGAGAAAAACAGAGGACAATTTAGTCAGGGACAAAACCTGCCAACACAAGATTGTTGCAAAGCCATACAGATCCTCGACCTCTCACAACAATTTTACTTGGAAAGTGCAAAGGGATGTGCCAACTGGAACGTACTTTGTCCGGGCATATGCTTACAACTCTGCAGACGAAGAGGTTGCCTACGGCCAGACCACAGACGCTAATAAGACTACTAATTTATTCCAAGTCGAGGCAATCAGTGGACGTCATGTCTCGCTAGATATTACCTCGATTTGCTTCTCGGCTTTTGCAGTCGTGTCTTTGTTTGGGTTCTTCTTGTTGGAGAAGAGAAGAACCAAAAACTCCCAAGAAAAGTGATGCGACCTTTGAGTACTATATTTTTTCCTTTTTTTAATCAGCATTCTGCACTAGAAAACTTCTATTACATCATGATGGTAATTTGCTTATTTATGGAAGTGTTATTTGCTAAATGTAACATCTCCAGATAAGCATTTCAGCTTTTATTAGATCTGGATTGATAATCCATGAATAGCTAACCAAGTGGGGGTGAATTGGTTTTTAAGACTTCTTCAAAAAATAAACATAAATCAAGTAAGCAAAGAATATGTTGGTCAATTAATAATTATAAACAAGAGAAAGCAATTAGAACAATCAAATAATATATATAAATAAGGTAACAATAAGTAAAAGGATAGAGAGAATGCAAACGATATAATTATGGAGGTTCGATCCAAATCAATTGTCTACATCTCCCGTTACCAAGCTCTATGGCACGAGCAAGGCCTTTTTCATTATATTGATTGACTTAGAGTGCAATCTAACCCTTTATAGGTGACTTACAATCAAGGAACACCGGTCATTATAAAATATAGAGCTTTGTGGGACCTCTATATAATTGACAAATACCAAGAAAAAAGTAGATTAACACTTTAATAAGTAGCAATGAATAAATCTCAAGTGTTAGGTAATAAAAACCTTGATAAGTAGAATGATTTTCAAAAATTAATTCAATCAAGAGTTTTTCAATAATGATTTGATAAAGATAAATAGAATGTGTATTGAATGATATTGCACAAGAGAATCTCACATTATTGCTCTAAAAACTGTTGAAATGAATGCAAAGTGAGATGGTATTTATGGTAGTTAAAGTGCAAAAGTTTATGATCAACCGGATGACTCATCTAGACGTCCGCTTCTAAACTGGATGCAGAACCGTTGTTCTTTAGAATTCAAAATGGCTAAAAATTTGACCATTTGACAAATTGGACGTCCGCTTGAGCTTTTAATGATTAATTGCTAACAATTAAAGCATTTTACCGTTATATATGAATTCAAAATATCTAAGTCTAATGTCTTTGGTGTTTGACTTGATGAGGTACTTATCTTTATTGATCTGACGTCCATGCTCTGCTTCCATCTCGATTGCGAGTCTTGAAAGCAACTTTTTTTTATCTTCAATTGACCAACTTTGCCACAGTAGCTATAGCAACTCGAATTCAAACCTTAGAGATAAAAGCAATTTGTTTGTTATAATCAAAATGTAGAATCAACCATATTTCAACATGGATATATTCTTCAGTAATAAATGTGATATGTGCTAGCCAAATACTGTCAAATATGTTACTAATTTTGAAATTCCATATAATTAACCACTTATTTCCGATTTTTATAAATGAAAAATTATGAACATATTATCTTATAAGTAAACTTTTGAAAAGATATTTAGTTAATTTATTTGCTTATTATTAAAGTATTGAGTAATACTATTTAACACTATTGATGTTAAACATTGGTCTAGGTTGCAGCATTAGTAACATTTAATTACAGGTTTAATTAAATACAATAAATTATGACTCATTTAATAGGACTTGTGATATGCAGACACCTAAGATCATGTTCAACAGTACTGGTGTTAGATAACTTTATCATAAAGTAATTAAGTTTAGTAGTTTGTGACTCAGAAAATAGAAAAAAATTCTCAGGGATTAGTGATGCAAGTACATGAAATCTCATTGAACTATTGACGTTTTATATGGTTTTGCAATTGAACTGTAACTCATCCTAAGACGGCCTTCCACACACATGCGGCCAACAAGCTAAGGTATGCAACGTCAACACAATATAAGGAGATAGAAAGCTTGTCATCATACCTGTATAAGAGATATAGTTAGCGTATTTTCGAGAATATAGCAACAACCCCGCAATAAGCAATCTTACCAAGCCACATGGGTAGGAGAGTTCAATAAATCCGTGACTCACTCTCCCACTCAATTTGCTAAAACCCTCGTAGCGGACGTATACTTCACCTCTCCATGCATTGCATACTCCCTCCAAGTTAGTGGGGCCAAAAATGTCCCACAATTGCACATCATCTTCCTGATGTACGGATGTCTACAGTGCCTTCCTGTAGCTCTTCTCGCAGTACCTCATACATGCCATCTTTGAAACCTTCTTCACGCTATGAACCTTTGCGTTATTTCCTGAATAGACGATTCTTCTAGCTACTACTTCACCACATATGTCGAAGTATACCCGCCAATGGCCCCACTATTCAATTTCCAGTGGAAAATAGTCATACCAAAAATCACAATCTTTCATATGAAAGGACACATCTTTCCAGCCAAATATTTTATAGAATGTTCCATAATATTCTGTACGATTTTTTTAACAATTTCAAGTATTTAAGCGGCCTAAATTTGGTTTAATTTCTTATTTACCAAATAATGAATTCCACTTAAATAATCATTTAAAATTGGTCAAAACCAATTTTCAATATAAAACTCCAACACTTTCATTTTATGATATACGGGATTTTAATTATCAATGTTAAGTTCCACATATATAATATACTCTATTTTTAGCAAGAAAATGAGAGGTTTTGGGCCATATCTTGTGCTCAGGCGATATAGCAAATGAAGTAGGGAGGAAAGCTACGATGACCTTAATGCATTCAATGCATGGGGGCTCAAACATGGAGAGGTAGAATAAACACCAGCTTTGTTTTTGTGAAACGATCATCTCAACATGGGACTTCAATTGAATTGATATCAAGCTCGAGCGACTTTGGACTAGGAGGTGCAAGGCAAGCATGGTAGATGTGTTAGAAACAAGTGAAGCCATCTGGCTTTCAATTAAATATTGGACTCGATTACTCTCTGAAGCCATTCTTAAATGTCATACGGATACAATGGAGGACCATGCAATTCTAATATTGTACTAGAATTAATGTATTTTACTAGTTTAGTTTACTAATTCAAGAACTTCTCCTGTTTGGCCCCATCTTTTAAAATTAATTTTTTCTTAAATTATTTTTAATCACACATTTCATTGATCCACAACTTTTATGATCTATTTAATTAAACTTTTCATCAACTAATATTAGAATATTCTAAAAATATTATTTTACAAAAAACCAAACAAGGGATTAGTAGCATGCCACACACTAGTTTAAATAAATATCTCTTGGCAAAAATCGGAGAAGAATGACTAATGTATTGAATGCCTGTTGGGCAAATTGTTGTCGAACGAACTCCGAGGCTATGATATAATTAGATATTTTTTCTCAGTCGACATCGGCCAAAATAATGACTGAACGGTAAATCGACACTTAGATAAAACAATCCGACCATTTGAAGCAGCCTAATTTTAATTAGTGCTGCTCATAGCCTATTTCTGCTTATTTGGATGGTTTATAAATGGGAACCTACTTAGCAGCCCACTTACCCTCCTATTGGGCTTGACCCATTACTGTACCCTAATTCTACCTATTTATTTTGGTTGTCTCTCTTTTGGTTTATATATATATGTGTCTTTGCTTCTCTTCCTTCGATTGAAAAAACATGTAGCTTTCTCTTTGTGTTTCTGTCTACTGTTTTCTTTCACCTTACTACCTTTGTGGCTACTCTCATATTGTGATTATAGCTTCCTTTGTGCATCTTGAGTGAATGAACTTGCAAACAAATGTGCTGAAGGAGATGAAACTTTTATTTAAAATTCCTAGTTTAGTCTATCTTTTCTATCTACAGTACAATGTAATGTAGGTTGCAAGGACCATGTCCATAATCTAACTTTTGTATATTTTATATTTTATCCGTAAAAGGCAGTGTATGGGCTACGTATGTAAGGGGAAAAAATGAATGAAAATCTGACTTTTTGTCCCAATAATCGTGCCTTTTCTCTGTTCTAGTTTTGTATTTTTTTTCTTTGCTTCTTCAAGTTGATTGCTGGTTCTCTTTCATTCTGGAAGATAAAAGAGTAGGTTCTTGAGCTCTTTTATAGGAAAAGAAAGAACTAACATTTGGTATCAGAGCTACCATTGATCTTAAGGGCTGTGAGAGAAGATAAAGATGGTAGGAACAAGTTTCATCTTCTTCACTTCCAGTACCAGCAGTGTTTGCTGGAGAAAATTACGATTTTTGGTCTGTCAAAATGAAGGCCTTCTTGATGGCACATGATCTGTGGAAAGTGATTGAGCAAGGGTATGAACCACCTGAATCTGATGCAAACTTTACAGTGGCACAGCTGAAGAAATAAAAAAAATCAATCTATGAAAAATATGAAAGCACTTTCATTCTTGTATACAGCTGTGTCTAAAGAAATTTTTCCCAAAATAGTTGCTGTGTCTACAGCTAAAGAAGCTTAGGACAAGCTTGAAGAAGAGTTCAAAAGCTTTGAAAAGGTAAGGGCTGTAAAGTTACAAGCTTTGAGTAGAGATTTTGAAAATCTCAAAATGAAATAAGCTGAAAAAATAAAAGACTACACTTCAAGAGTTGTGTATATTGTTAATCAACTCAAGCTAAATGGAGAGAAAGTTTCTACTAAAAGAATGGTTCAAAAGGTGCTAATTACCTTACTTGAAAGATTTAATGCTGTAACAACAGTTATAGAGCATACAAAGGACCGGTCAAGTTTCTCATTAACTAAGCTTAAAGAAGCTCTATTAGCTTATGAACAGAGACAAACAATTAGGGCAGAAAATTTAGTTGAAGGAGCTTTCATAGCAAAACATAAGCAACAATATTCAAGGGAAAGTGGTGAAAAAAAGCAACATGATGGAAAAAAGAGGAGATAAGGTAGATGTAGTAAACAAGAAATGGACAAAGGAAAAAATGATACATATCCTCCTTGTGGTATTTGTAACAAAACAAATCATTTGGAGAAGAACTGCTGGAAGTCTAAGCAATGTAGATGATGTAAAAAATTTGGTCATGTGGAGAAGTTTTGTAGAGACAAACTCCAAAATCAAACCATAGTACAATATCAATCAAGACCTCAAAACTAGCAAGCTTTACTTGCTCATGAAAGGAAAGAAAAGGATCACTTGTTTCTTGCATTTCATATGTCAGATATGGTGGACAAAGATTCATGGTTTATTGATAGTGCTTGTACAAACCATATGACAAGCAAGGAGGAGATTTTTTGCAACTTCAATCCTAATTGTAAAGCAACAATCTGAATGGGAAATGGAGAAGCCGTTTCAGCAAAAGGAATGGGAACCATTATT